AGCAGGGGCCATGTCCGGGAGGACCAAGAACGGGTGTTCTGGTCTCTTCTGACGTGGTGATAGGCGTTTTCCATCCTTTCTAAGCAGTCGCAGACGGTCTGCGCCACCCCCCACGGCTACAGTTTGGATACTGCGCAGTAGCGGCCGCGGCGGTGGAAGGCTAACCTCCGAATCCCAGTGTTTATGGCCAATCTGCGAGTGCCGTTGGAGGCGCGCGAGACGGCCCCCGCCTCCACCGTCAACCTGAGCCAATGTGAAAGCGAGGCATGGTAGCCGCCTCTTCCCCAAGCGAAGGCGAGAGGCGCTTTGCCTGGACTTGTCCCAACTTCACGCCGTAGGCTCGGCCAATCATTGTGCGAATCGTCCTTGATGGACGGTAGAGGGAGCCAATCGGAACGTCAACGCTCGTAGTCGCCTCACTCTCAGCTTGTTAGTGTGGCGCGCGCGCGCGGGGACCCGAATCCTGTGAGTTCGGGGGCTCTCCAACTACCGTCTTGAGTGGGCGCCATTTTGGATCCCCTCTCTTGAGGGAGGCAAAGAGGGCATTCGGGTGGGAAAGTCTGGGCGGGAGCTATTCGGAGGTTTGCTTCTTGGGATTCCTGGCGTCCTAATCTAACGGGTATAGGTTCGAGGGCCCTGGGCCTCTGTGTAGGATCTCGGGGAATGCGATGGTTTGGGTCACTCACTGGTCACCCAGTGGATTGGGGGTCTGGGTGATAAGCAGCCTGGTGGACTTGAGGACGGGAGGCCTTAATTTACTTCGAGTCGCTCGTCGCCGAGACACCGTCCAGGGAGAGGGTGTGGCCCAGGTGGGCGGGTGGCAGGCCTAGGTTCCACCCCCACCCCGCCCCTTATCCGTCCACCCTGGTCCCCACTGAGTGAGGGTGGGGGTCAACTCCCCATCTCAGGATTTGGGCTGCCTTTTTTTTTTTTTAAGAGGTGGAAGGGGTGTTAAAGATTGATCGTAGTTCAAGCCCCTTGTTTTTTACAGATGAGGAAATTTAAGACCCAGAGAACTTTAGTGACTTGCTCAAGGTCACACAGGTTGTAAGTAGCAGAGCCAGAATTGGATTCCCTTCCCCCACTCACCCCACCCCCCAACACGTGTCTCTCTTCTGTTGCCTTGGCCTAGGTCTCCAAATGAGGGAAGCCTTGTTCCATAACTCTTCCTAAGCCTTTGTTTGATGTTTTCCCAAATGCTCCATGGCTGCCCTGGCCTCTCCTCCCATCCCACACTTGCCCTCCCGTCTAGTGCTAGATTATTCAATGTGGGACCCGCTGATGGTGATAGTGTGTTCCCCCCCCTTCCCCCATCCCAGATAATGGAGGACACACAATTGGTGGACTGGGAGGCTCAGGAGGAGGAGTCTGAGGATTCTAAAGGCTCTCCTCCACGTTTCGCCTTGGAGCCTGTAGGGCGGCTGCACCTGTTCAGCAGTGTTCGAGGACCTGAGAAAGGTCAGAGGGTATGGGGTGCTAAAGGGGGTGGGGTGCAGCCTTTATTTTTATGATTGATACAGGGCAAATGACAAAGTGGTCCTGTCCATGTGGCAGGGGAGATGTAGAGGGAAAAATTCCTCAAGATTTGATCTGATACCTTACAGGATAACTCATAGCTAACCTAGATAGAGTTGTGGAATATTTCCTTTGGTGAGATGACTTAGGAGAATCATCTCCAATGGCCTATGCTTTTCTGATGCTTCTGTCCTTCTTACCCCCTTCCTCCATACATTGTGAATCCTGAATCTTTCCTATAGAAAATTCTTTAGATTTACCTTTATTTTTTTCTAGAGAAAATATAAATGCATGATAAGGGAAACCAAAGAGAAAATTCACTGAAGAGCAGGAATGGGGTTGATCTCTGGCTTTAGAAGTAATACCTCATCGAATTTTTGCCCCCAGATTTCCTGCTGTACCCTGGGGAGAATGTGGTTGGCCGAATACCTGGCTGTACTGTGGCTCTGCCTTTCCCGTCCATCTCCAAACAGCATGCAATAATTGAGATTTCAGCCCAAGGCAGGGCACCTATCCTTCGAGATTGTGGGAGCCTCAATCATACACGCCTTCTGAGACCTCCCAAGCTCCTAAGCCCTGGGGTGGGCCACCAGTTGAGGGACCAAGACTTGGTACTCTTTGCTGACCTGCCTTGCCAGTATCACCGCCTGGGTGCCCCCTCACTTCCTGGCCCTCGGGGGGCTCTAAGTGTGGAAGAGACACCCAGGGTCCCAGGGATGGGGGGACCCCGATTCCAGGGGACCTTATTGGCTGAAGACTCAGAGGAGGAAGGAGGTAAATTTGAGGTATAAGGAAGTAGTGGGTAGGGGGAGGAACCTGGGGAATATGAAATTACAAAGTCCATTCTTCTCTCCAGATTCTCCTTTGGACAGTATCAAGGTACCTGTCACATGCTCCCCCTCTGAAACTGTAGTACCAGAGAGGTGAGTACTGAGGGGCCAGACAACTGAATTTGTAAAGGGAAGTTTACCTGAGGGAAGCTTCAGGGAGGGGGGAACCAAGGACATAATAGCTAGGCCCTTAATAATGGTTATTAGTTGGGGTAGGAGAGAAAGAGAACTGGGAACTAGAGTTTTGGGTGCTTGAGTACTTTCTTGGGATCTGAATTCCAAGTTTTCCATCTTTCCTCTTTTCCCATCAGTGATGTGGAGGGAGCTTCACCAGGCACCAAAGGTCCAGCATTGCCTCTTACTTTCATTCTGGATAGTGACACAGATGAAGAGGAAGATCTTCCCCCAATAGAGCCCTCCTCAGCTACCAGGAAAGGCTCTGCTGTAGATAAGGAGTGGAGTAGTACTGGTGGAGAGAACCACCCCTCAGCTGTGGGGAGGGACAGTGATACAGATGTGGAAAGAGATGAGGGTATCATGGCAGTTCCATCTGAGAACTTGCCCAGTGACAGGGACGGTGATACAGATGTCGATGATGAGAGCCTCCAAAGGACCTCAGTTGTGACACCTTTGATAGGGACTCAGCCTTCTTCCTTGGAAGATAGTGGTACAGACTTGGAAGAGGAGAGTCTTTCAGTGAGACCAGTTAAAGAAATGTGCCAGCCTACTAATGGGGACAGTGATACAGATACAGAAGACTCTGTCCCAGCAGCGCCACCTGTAGTCCATCTGGGGAAAGATCAGGTGTCCATAGATGGGACAAACAATACAGATATAAAAAAGGAGGGGGCACCAACAGAACTCTCCACAGGACATCTTGAGAAGGACCAGCATCCCATTGGTGGGGATGGGGACAGTGATACAGATGCGGATGACAACGGATTTCAGACATATGTGAAAAAGAGCCAACTTCCAGTTGAAGAGGACAATAGGGAAGAGTGTGCCCCAGCTAGTGATCAACTGGAAAGGACCACTAAGAAAGTTGGGACGCAGGGTAGGATACCTATAACAAAACTGAAGCAGCACCTATCTCCTTTCCCAAGGGTCAGCTCAGTAGGCATGGTAGAAACAAGTACTCTAGAGAAGTCAGCCCAGGTAGTTTTAGAAGAAACCCAGAATTATATAGATGGGGATAGTGATCCAGATGTGGAAGGTACTGAAGATTTTCAGAACAAGAGTGATGGTGAGTTTTAGTGTCTCCTTTCCTCAATACCCAACCTTCTATAGTAAACAGTAAAGCAAAGTTGAGTGACCAGTCCTAAGCCTAATATCTTTTTGACTCTTTCCAGATACTTCAGACCTAGATTTACAAGATACTCAGTGCTTTGTAGAAGGAGTGAATCAGAACCACGGAGGTGAGACCCACACTGGAATCAAATACCTGGGTCTCTAATGGGAATAAGAGCTCTGTTACATTGTCCCTAAGGAGAATAAGACTGGGAATAAGAAGTGCACCAGGGTTAGGCGTAGAGCTGTGGAGGCAGAAGCCTAGATCCAGACTATATGTTAAGGCTGGCTTTCCTTGTACAATGAGTAGTAAGCATTTGAAAGAGGATGTGTCTTGTTCACCCTAGAGTTAAGTCTACACTTATAACTAGTTTCCGTATATCTGGGCCTCTCCAAATCTGCAACCATTTCCCCACCCCACTTTGTCTCTTGTTTTACTCAACAGTCTATAAAACTTGTTTATATTTTGATTCTGTAACATCTCTCAGTATGTTTCTCTCCTTCACTCCCTCACATGGTCCAGATGAGCCATGGGAAATCTTGGCCACACAGCCATTCTGCTCAGAGCAGTCAGAAGCATCAGAAACTCAGCCCATCACCTCTTACATTGAATCCCATGGAGCTTGCTCCTCCCCACCTAAGACAGCCTCAGACCTACAGCCTGGGAGCTCAGAAAAAACTGAGTCCTCAAGGAGTCAAGGCACAGAGAATCCAAACACAGAGATCCAGAGACAAACTATGGAAAATGACACGGAGAACCAAATGATAGAAGTAGAGACACCTAGAATAATACCGGAGAGAAAAATGGAAAAAGGGACTGTTAAGAGAAAGACATTGGCAAATAAGGCAAAGAGATCTAAGAGAAAAAGAGTGAGTCCAGTGGTACAAACAGAAAGAGCAGAAAGAAGACAGAGATGTGCAGCAAGTAGAGTTGTGCAGAATGTTGTGACAGAAAAAGATATCAAAAGCTGTGGAGAAACAAAGGCACTAGAGAAGGAAATGGAGAGGCAAACCCCTGAGAAAGATATATTTGAAAGACAAGCACCAGAAAGAAAAACAAAGAGTCTGGTGGTAGAAGTAAAGGTACCCAAAGAAATGCTGGAAAGAGAGGCAGAGGGAGAGATGTCGGAAGATCATGACCAGGAGGTCCAGAATCCAGCTCCAGTACCAAAATCTAAAGTTGAGGAAGGGGACCTGCAGGAATTAGCCTCAAACCCCCAAATCCTCAGTGATAGCAGATGTCAGAGAGGTGAGTGACAGATGAAATTTTTATTTCAATTCCTTAAAGTTCCCAAGAACCCAGCCAAACTTATTTTCTCTTCTTGCCCAGGCCTCAATGATAGCAAAATTTTGCCTCTTGAGGAAGTGCCAATGGTAAGAGCTATTCATCTTTTCTCCCTACAAATGCTTTCTTATATGCCACTCATTTCTATAAAAGCTTTTATTCTGCTGCACCCTGAGTTCCTGATGCTGGTGCTCTACATAGTCCTTTCCCTAATGTTAAACTACTTTTCACTGTCATTTCTGACATTCACATTCTTATACCTTCTTCTGTTCTGCCCCATTATCTAATTTCCAGTTAACTGCCTCATTTTCACAGTGTGATTATTTATAGCTCTCTATTTATCTAAATCTGTCTCAGTAAATCAGGGGCTTTCTTCATACTTTTTTCTCTCTTTGACTTTCCTCATCCTCAGTACTACTACTTTTTGTAGAGCCTTTTGCTGGGCACTGTGGGGGTGGGACACAGGAAGGTCCAGAAGAAGGAATGAATGAAAAAAGCATTAAGTGCTTACTACACGCAAAGTACTGTGCTAAGCTAGAACTACAAATAAAAAAGTAAGACAGGTCCTGCTCTCAAGGAACTTCCATTCTGATGGAGGAGATAGCATATAAGGAAGGTTTCAGCTGCAAATCAGATGGAAAGATCCCCATGGTCCTTAGGGTGAAGAGAGAAAAAGGCAAAAAAAAAAAAAAGCAAAGTCTCTTCTTTAATGTCATTTCTACTGATAAAACATTAGTTTCTGATGCCAAACCATCTGACACCAGACTGGAAGCATTACGGTTCCTAAGGCTCTTGAGTTTAAGGTTCTGGGCTGTCTCCATCAGAGTCTGAGGGTAGATGACAGAGTAGTGGCAGTGGTTTGACTCGCCTAGCACATGCTGCCTCCTAACTGGCTCAAAGGGTGCCTTGTTGCTTCAGCTAGGCTGGCTTACTTGTCCTGTGGCTGGTGGAAGTTTGTAGTTGGTGGCAATGTCTAGCCTTGTCCACTGAAGTTGACTTCCCAGATAGTGGCTATGAGGGCTAGACTAGAAGCTGGACCAGTGATTTGGGGGGTACTGCCACACAGATGATCAATAGTTGTTTCTGACAGTAGTGAGGAAGGTGGGGCCCTTCTGTATAATAATTTTTGATAGTTGTGTAATTTGAAGAATTGCCGGTTTGATGGAGAAAGGAATACAAAGGAGCAAATGCAAATTAATATAGTGTAAACTTAAATATATTAATCTTATGTTTCCCTTGATCGCTATCCAATTTATCTGCAGGATGATCAGGATTCTTCAGATGTACCTCTTACAGCATCTAAAGTTCCAGTCTCTGAAGCCTCAGCCCCTTCTTCAACCCCCAGAGTCACCCGGAGCCAAAATAGGAGAACATCAAAACCACTCCATTCTTCTTCCTCTCCAGCTTCCCAGGAATCACCGATCTTGGGGACAACACGAAGCAGGAGGCGGGGGATTCTCCTGGCCCCACATATTGAGCCTCTCCTCCCTCAGGATTCTAGAGACAAATCAGAATCTTCTTTTCAGAGCCAGACACAGAAGCCTTTCAGTCCCTCCTCTGCACCAGCTGCCCCTTTGGCCCCTGAGCTCCACCCTTCCATCCCTAAAGAATTGCCTGTAATCCCTGAACCCCACCTTCAGACTCGTCAGAGCCGGAAACGGGGGGCCACAAGAACTTGTGGGTCTACCACAGTTGTACCAGTCCTCCCTGAGCACCCTCTTTCCATTCCAACAGAGAGATGTGAAACCCCTGTGCCCCCACCCAGGGCTGTCCGAAGTCAGAGAGCAAAAGTGGGAGAAATTTCGGAGTCACTCACAGCCACCCCAGAGCCCTCCTATTCTCTGACACCTGAGGCACCTGCCCCTAGAGCTACCAGGAGCCAGAGGGTAGGTGCCGTAGGTACGCTTTTCTCTACCCCAGAGGCCCAGCCTAAGCTCCCAGGCAGAAAGCGGCCTCCAGCTACCAGGGAACCATCTCCATGCCCTAAGCAACCCCGGAGAGGTAGGTCCCAGAGACAAGAATCCAGCAAGGAAGAAGATGAGAAGCCAGTGGAAGTTGAGGTAAGGAAGCAGGATAGAGATTAGCTCAGGAGGGTAAGGCCACACTAAGAACTAATTGGGATCTTTCTTACCTCCAGACTGCAGCAAAGACCCCTGTGGGGGTTGCAGAACAAGAAGTTCAGGCAAAGGACGAAGTCAAGGGAACACCTAGTCGGAGCTTACGGCGAGCTAGACTCTGTCGAGAAACAAGAACTCCCAAGGTATGGAGAGGAATTGGAAGGAAGGGCCTAGGGTTTTGAAAAGTGTTAGTAAAGAATCCTTTAGAAAGATGGAAGATAGAGGACCTTAAGAGGAGTCAGTGGGAAAGTATAGGCTTGCTGGGTTTCATTGAATGATGACTTCTCTTCCTACAGGTGCTCTTTACAGGTGTGGTGGATGCACGAGGAGAGCAGGCTGTACTGGCACTGGGTGGAAGTCTGGCCAGTTCAGTGGCAGAAGCCTCACACTTAGTGACTGATCGAGTTAGACGTACAGTCAAGTTCCTATGTGCACTGGGCCGGGGGATACCCATTCTGTCTCTGGAATGGTTGCACCAGGTGAGAGAGTAGGAGGGATCCAGAGCAGTAGCAAATACAAATGGCCAAAGGTAAAATTACTGACAGAAATGTATGTACACAGAGATGTAAATTGAAAGAAAAAATGGGAAGGAGGTATGATTCTAAGAAGATGAGGGATAAGGGCTAATAGATGGGCAGAAGAGTCCTGGAGAGGAGTTGGACTGACTCCTATTCTCTGCCTCCAGTCCCGAAAAGCTGGCCGATTCTTGCCACCTGATGAATTTGTGGTGAACGATCCTGAGCAGGAGAAGAACTTTGGTTTCAGCCTTCGAGAGGCATTGAGCCGTGCTCAGGAGCGGGGCCTGCTGGAGGTGAGTGAGACCCTGGTCACATGCTTTCCCTATAGGTATGTCCATCTCCCACCCCCACCCCCCACACCTACTCTACTGCCTTCCCCTTAGGTTTTCCTCAGTCTCTGTAGAGGTCTCATTATTTCCCTACTCAGTCCTCAGCTGGCCTCTTTTTCCCTCAGGGCTATGAAATCTATGTGACTCCTGGAGTGCAGCCCCCACCCCCCCAAATGGGAGAGATCATCACATGCTGTGGGGGTACTGCACTTTCTAACATGCCTCGGGCCTATAAGGTATGGTTTGAAACTAGGGAGGTAGTAACTTGCAATAGGAAAGCCAAGAGGATGTTGGTAAGGGGAGGCAAATAGGAGAGCTGAAAGGGGTCAAAGGATGGGAAGATTGAGGAAGGGAAAGTATGGTGGGAGGATGTAGGGAGAAGTTTTATACTGGTCATAACATGCACTTCTATTCTGAATCAATTTCTTTCCTTCTTTGTTCTTCTCCTCTACTCATCTCTGACCTCAGTCCCAGAGGCTAGTGATTTCATGTCCTCAGGACCTCTCAAGATGCTCTGCTGCTGTTCGGGCTAAGCTGCCCCTCCTTTCACCAGAGTTCCTGCTCACTGGGGTGTTGAGGCAGGAAGCCCAACTGGAAGCATTCCTCCTCTCCACCTCAGACTCTTTACCTTCTTAATGCCTTTAGTCCTTCTACCCCCACCATGTTGCCCACGCTGTTTTAATACACAGACCATAAAATAAACTGTTCAGAAGAAAAATGTGTTTCATGAAAGACTGGCATGATGTATAGAACTTTTGAGATGGGGGAGGTGACATAAGAGCTTCTGAGGGATCATATGGGATGTGGAAGGAACAAGAGAACCTTTTCAGAAGACCTGGAGAAACAGAGCCAAACGACGTGAAGGAATATGGGTACCTAATTAAAGCACTATTATGTTTTAGTTTAAAATGCTGCTTAAGTCTAAGCTCTGATCTCACATTAAACCTTACATATTTACTTCAGCCCACTGTGTTTATATCCATAGCACTTAAAAACTCGAATTAATATCACTGGCCTAGGGCTGGGGGTGTGACCAGAGGCGGGGCTAGTGTAGCGGGAATTCACAGGCTCCTCCCCTGTTCCTAGTCCCGCTTCCCCAGCCATGGCCCCTGCGCTGCTCTTGGTCCCTGCGGCCTTAGCTTCTTTCGTTCTGGCCTTTGGCACTGGAGTAGAATTTGTTTGCTTCACATCTTTGCAACCACTGCTCGGGGTCACTCAGAAGTTGCGACCAGGTAAGTGGTGCTGGAGCTGGAGCCCCGGAGGAGGGTGCGGCGGGGCAGAGAAGGGGGTGGAGCTGACAGATGAGGCCGAAGTAAGTGAGGGGAAAAGAAGGAAGTATAAAGGGAGGGAGGGGACTCAGACAGAAAGGAAAGGAAGGTAGGTAGGTAGAATTGTAGAAAAGATCTGAGTTTAATTCTGTGGAGTGTTTCTGGAAGGGAAAGAAATATTTGGATGAAAATTTATATGGAGAATACTTTGGAGTGAGGAAAAGTATTAAAAGGTAATGTCAAATATTGTAGGGAGCAGAGTGTGATAGCATTTTTGGCTTTTAAGTTACAAACTAATTTGTTCTTGTGAGACAAAAGGCTCAGGTCAGATGGTTTGCCCCTGCATGGTCACAAAGCTAATAAGCACCAGAGACATAATTTGAACTCAAGTCTCTCCTAACTCCTAAGTTTGATTTTTTTTTTCCCCTACAGATGGAACAAAAGTGAATAGATTTGGGTTGGGGATTTTCAAGCCCCTGGGCACTAACATCCTCTTGATCTATAAGACTTCTCAGGAACCCCCAAGTCCTCTTCTCCCAAAATTTCTGAAGGTTCAGCCAGCATCACTTGAAGCTCCTTTTCTATATATAGCCCTAAAGAAATTGCTGGAGATGGGAAATAAAGCCATTTAATGGAGAATGGAGAGTAAAAGGGGCATGGTCTAGACAGGTTCTCAGAGTGGCATCAGAAATTAGGGAAGCTTGGTCAGCCTCCAAAGGGACATGGCCTGAGATTCAGAGGAGATGTTTAGGATAACGGTGATCTTTCCCTGCCCTTTTGACATCCTATCTTCCCCCATCCTAAGATACTCGACAGGATTGGCTGACTGCCCTACAGGACCCTGGCGTCTTGGCAGCTCTAGCGCAGGACCTGGGGCTGGTGCTTCTATTCATGGGGCAGCACAGTCTTATGGCAGCAGAGCCTGTGAAGACATGGATGGCCCAGCACTTTGGGGTCCTGCAGAGGTCACTCTATGTGGCCTGCACTGCCCTGGCCCTGCAGGTATGGGGGCTCAGCAGCTAGGTCCCCAAGAGAAGTAGAAGCTGGGGAAAGGAAAGCCTGGGGATGAGGGTGCCAGATGGCCTGACTTCCTGAGTAAACCGAGAATTAAGAGAGAGTGAGCTGGGAGAATTTAAAACCCTGCACATTGTAATCACTAAACTCTCTAACCTCAGCTCCCACTACCTCCCTACTGTAGACAGACTAGACCCATTGTTTCCCAAACATACCCCCTTCTTTTTTCACTCCCCATTCACCCAGGCTTGGAATGCCTGCCTCCTCCTCTTTTCTCCAAAACCTATACATACTTTAAGGCCTGATCTTCATCCCCCAGCTCCTCCAAGAAGTCTTTACCAATGGCCATGGTTTTAGTGTTGATTCCCTCTTTTGAACTCCTTTGTCATATTATATGTCTGTCAATTATATGTTGCTTTATTATTTATCTCTAGATACACATTTGTTCTCCTAACCAGATTGTAAGCTCCTCACACAGTGATCACACATCTTATAAATTCACCAAACATGATCTTCTGTGTGCTATCATGGTACCAGTGATACTCCTAGACTACAGGACTGGGCTGCTCAATATATTTCAGTGGTTCCCTACTACTTCTAGGGTCAAATATAAACTTCCCTGTTTAGCATTTAGAGCCCCTCTCAGTCTGGTTCCAACAACCTACCTTTCCAACCCTTATTTTATATTGCTGTCCTTATACACTCAAGTCTGTCCAGCCTGGCCTTCTCTCTTTCTCTCTCTCTCTCCCTCTCTCTCTCTCTCTCTCTCTCTCTCTCTCTCTCTCTCTCTCTCTC